TGCAGTATGCAATACAAAAAGTGATGGTGAGTTTTTCTACCTTGATTACAATTTTGAGGAGCCAGTTTTTAATAATTTTTCACTATGTTTGAGGTTTGCTCTAGAGTTTTGGTATATTTCCTTGTATCAGGTTTAAAGTTGTTCTCTTAATTCTTTACTTGAATAAGTGATAAGTCTATCAAAAGCTCTCCTTCCCCCAGTTAGCTAATGATATATACCTTTTCTTCTCCTTTAATATTTTAACATCCTGAACTTCAACATCAGGCTTCATGTTTTCCTCTGATGACCGATGGATTTGTGGTATAATTTTATGTCAGATTATTGCCTGTATGAACAAAAATGAGGGTGGTATTATGCTTTTTTTCTAATTCTTTTTTGATATCAAAATTATCTCAACTGTATGAAATTGCAGAATTTTCCTTTTTTTGTTTTTGTTCTTGGAAGCTTTTTATAAACAGAATATCTGCTCTTTGATTAAAATTGTACAATTGAGTCTAGTGGTTTTTTGTCAAGAGAATCTTTTTGTTTTTGAATTCACTTTCTTTTATGATATCTATTTTGATGTACTCTTGCTCTTTGGATAATTTTTGGTTATTGATAGTTTTCTAGAAAAGTGTTCCTTTCTTGTATGTTTTAAAAAATGTATTAGCATAAATTTACTGTATGTGCTTATGTTTTAAATCTTGATGGAATCTGTAACCATATACATATCTTCTTTTTTGGAGGTTTTCCAATATTGTTTAGTTTTGTTTTTCTTTTTCATTCAAGCTTGGTGAGACATTTATTTTATTGGTCTTCTCAGAGAACTAGATTTGGTTTTCTTGCTAATCTTTGCTACTCTTAAAATTTCATTAGTCTTTATAGAAAGAAAGAAATGATCTAACAGTGGTGGATTTATTTTTTAGTTTCATGACCTCATTTATTTTTTTCTTATTTTTAAATAAATACATATGTCTATTAATTTCTCTCCAACTGTGGGTTAACTAGATTCCAGGATTTGTTGTGAAAAATGTTTCTTTTGTGGTTAGTTATATTTTATGATTTTTACAGTTGTTATTTAGGAGTGTGTGTTTTAGTTTCCAAGCATATAAAATTGCTTGTTTTTTGGTTTGTTTTATTTTTAAATATTTTTAATTGATTTAGGGTCAGAATTTATGAGATAGATTTTTAAATTGTGATGAGATTTATTTGTAGCCTAGTACATGTTCAGTTTTTGTTAATGTTCTATGCGGTCTTTGACAGAAAGTGTATTATTTGCTGATTAATCTGTTACATTAAGCTAATGAAGTTCATAATATATAGTGATTTCTTCATTTTTTTCATATTAGCTTTTTTGGTTTCTGGCATCACCAATTACAATTACAGTTTAAAATTTTCTACTTATATTTGTGGCTGGTTTTGTTTGGGGCTAAATTATTATGTAGTGTCTGTTGTCTTTTTTTCATCCCTTTATTTTCAAACTTTCTATGTTAGTTAGCCTTAAGAGCATTCCTTTTATAACCAGTCAGGTAAATTTCTGCCTTCTTCTAAGTAAATTTAATTTATTTACATTATTGTGTTTGCTAATTTGAAGTTGTCTTAGCTGTCTTATTTTTTGGGTGTTCTATTTGTGATGCCTGTGGTTCTTGGCTATCTTTTTGTTGGATTGAATACATTTTCATTGTCTTTAACTGGTTTGGAAGGACCATAGAATATTTTAACTTCGTTCTCCTCTGTCTTTCAAATTAGGTAATATTTTTCTTCTTTGTTTTGAATATACCTACACCCAGTTGATCATCAATGTTATTTTTATAGTCTGTACTATTTAGATTTATCATATTTCTGAAGCCTTCATGATTCTGTTTTCCCAGGTTGTTTTTTCCTTGCTAAAAGTGTAGACTGGTACTTAAGACTGAGTCTTAAAATCTCCAGACTTATCTGAAAATGTTACTTTTCACTTACTCTTTAATGACAGTTTATCTGAACATGGAATTCTACATGGCCAGTTTTCCTTCTAAGCCCGTTAAAGATACTCTTTCATTGTTTGTTCACTTCTAGAGATGTTAAGGAGACTTCTGTTGTAAGGTTTTTAGATGATTGTACTGATAAACCATTTTTCTCTTTTCTTTTAAAATGATTTGATAGTTTAA